AAATGCACAAGCTAAATTTGACTTCCTATTTGTATATTTGCATCCCCTTTTTAATTCTTGCTCAGGTTTCTCAGTCAAGCTAGAGGAAAGCGTCAATGCGGGCACTTGCTTTGTGCAGCCTGCAAAAGTGCCTAAAGCTTCTCTAGCCCCTAAGGCTGAAATTTTCCCCACAATATAGACAGACATCTATAGAAAGAGAGCAATATACAGAGATAGATGTCTTTTCCTTATATACCCCTTCAGCTGCCTAGCAATGACTGCCACAGCCCTACTCCTTTACTTAATATCTTGCTCAGAAAAGGGAGCCTCTACTTTCCTCCTTACCTCTTTTGTTTGAAACTTCTTCCTCCAAGCTCTTATCTTAGTTTGCTTTCAAGAGAAGAAAAAACAGGCCCCTAACGAACATACCTATCTTGCCCTAGGTAGTTTATTCTGTCAGCATTCCTCTTTTTTTAAAATGATACTTGGCCCAGTCTTGTGTTCAGCTCATATATCGCAGAACCATGGGCTGGACCAGAATATCTTTCAGTTCATAATCACAGTGTGCAGTGGAGGAATGACCCTATCTCTTCTGGAATTATTGCTGGCTGCAATTTGACAAAAATATTTCTTATGTTTGAGAGAAAGTCCAAACAAGGACAGAGAAAGAGTTTGCTGGAAAGTGGATACCTCCCCTACACGTACTTCAGTAAATGCAAATGATACCTAAGGTACAGCTCTTTTAAACAATGGCCTATAATTTTATTTGTATTGTCTGCCTCCAGCTCCTTCCCCCTTTTTGAATGGGGTCAGGCTACAGTGCCAAGGAGTTTAGTACGAGATCTCTGTCCAAGCTGTGGGAATGTTCAAGCAAAAGCAATAAGTGAAATAATTGGAAACACTGCACGTTGTGGGGCAGCAGAGCAGTTGGGTCCCTGTTCTCCGAGCTCTCAGCAGTCTGGGAGCTGTGCAGACAGACTGTCAGCTACTTGGGCACCCTCAGATGAATCCTTCACACCAGGGTGCATCAGGTCTCTCCTACGACAAGCTGGGCTGTTGAAGGCGAAGAGACCACCAGGTAGACACGAATAACGGGAGATCCCCATAAAGCCCATTGAGATGCATGACATGACATGACCCTGGGAGATGGTACACAACCTCAGCACCAACTGAACACGAGCTAAAGCTTGAAGGAGAGGCCCAAGAGCCTCAGGCACCTTCCAGGTATCCGTCAGCACCTTCCAACATCTGGCTCCAAGGGCATGCTACACAACTCCAACGCCTTTTCATAAGCAAAAGCCCCCAGCAAAACCGCAGCTCAAGACACAGAAAAGAACAGATTGTCTTCCAACACACATGCAGAAAAATCAAAACAAACGGTTTGCATACAAGCATTGCATTTGCAATTCTGATTCTCTAATAGGAAATGGCTCTCAAATGGGGGAGGGTTAGACAGGAAATATTACAGCAATGTTATTTTGTTACACTAATTACCAATAACGGCACGTACTAGGGTACCAACCACAGTCAATTCATTTTAAAAGCTATATAATAATGTTTAGGATAAGGAATTAATTTTTATAGCCACTGAAACAGATTTACCTGTACTGTGATACAGATTTATTACAAATTAAATTTTCTAACTCAAGTGGTTGACTTGGAGAGGCTCAGCAGGATTTGAGGGGAGACACCCTGTTGTAAAGAGAGAACTTCAGAGTTAAGGCACATCTCCTTTGGGTCAAAGCCAACCCCCATCCCACTCTCCACACCCTCCCCAGACCAGTTCATTTGTAAAAAGTTGTCCTCTGCTGTTTTAGTGGAAAGCAGGGGAGGAACTTCTTTCCTTTCTCACCGGGAAACCGTGACACCCAAATGTGCAAGCTGGAGTCTGTGTGCAGGTCACAGGCATGCTTCCCCTCTCCCTGGAGGATCAGAATTTTAGAGCCCACAGGACAAAAACCAGTATGGGAAAACGGATATCAAGAACTACTGTGTTACACCCTAAGGGTATTTACAGAGGTAAGAAAATCCTGTGGTATATAACACTATTCGGACACAGCTGGCCTATTTCCCATTCTGACCTTCCAACTTGCATAACTTGTTTTCTACCAGCACAGTTGCTTTCCAGGGTAGTCTCCACCTGTTCTGCATTAGCACACAAATAAGGTCAGATATGCCCACCTCTGCCAGCAGATTCAGCACCACAGTGTGAACTGTGGCAAAGGAGAGCAGGACCACTCAGGGTGACCTTCATTTAGTTAGCTGCCTGCAAAAGCTTTTTTTTTTTTTTTTGGTAATTGTATGGTTTTAAAAGGTAAAATTTTAATATCACAGTTCCCCTCCCACAATGTAAAGTGAACTCCTTAAAAAGATTCATAAAGTAAAAACTTTGAAGTGTAGCCAAGAAGATACAGTCATTAATTTACTGAAATGTCTGCAGTGTCAATCTCTGAATATGGAACAATTCAAAACTTGTCTTGCACTTCCCTGTGCAAGAAGCGCTGCTGGATCAGGAGGACTGACAGACACCTAGCTGGAAGCAGGGCTGGGCCTAAAGAAGAGACCTGAACAGCACAAGTTCATAGGCGTGCAGGACTTCATGAATGTACAGCCCTGAACAATGACAGAACTTGATCATTTTTAATTAAGACCAACATTCAAACTTGAGCCCTGCTGAGTTGCTGCTTATGAAAGGACTGGGTTAATTTCAGTTTCTTCACTCTCTCTCACTTGCCAGGGTCCAGGATCAAAGCCATCAACATCTTGAAGAGAAAGGTCCAAGATGTGGTCCTGGGTGTGCAGAAACCGGGTTACAGACCTGCCCATTCCCTACCAGAGGTGGATCTGGTAGGATCTTCCCCCAAAAGCACAGTCCCCAAGGTCTGCTGGGCTGCAGTTAGGCAGACAAGGATAGGAACCGAGCAGACAGTAGAGCCGAGAGGCAAGTTCTCATCTTAGGGTGACGGGAACATTGCAAACACCAGAAAGAGCTTAGCCTCTGGAGGAGAGGAGGCACTTCTTGCTTTAGGCCTTTCTTTTCCTCCAGCAAAGGAGGGCAAACAGCTGCCACGGATGCAAGTGCTCGGACACCTGTGGAAGAAATGAGGTCTTCACCCCAATGAACCCAATGGCAAATGTTTCTGGCATGTAGGGAGCTGTGATTAACATATCCTAATCAATGCAGATAGATGGACATCCACCAGGATGCCTTTCAGGGCACAGGACAAGGACTGGGCAGTACTCAGCATAGGCTGGGATCTCCCTGTCAGCTCTCAGGACTTCTCCTGGCTATTCTGGCACTTTTATTTGCCTCCATCCGTGCGCTGGACAGACAGGTAGGTGGCCAGACACAGAGAAATCCTTGCCTCTTTGCTGCACACCGTTTCCCATCTCCATGGGCAAGTAGAGAACTTCCATTTCCAGAGACTTTCCTGCTACTGCAGGGAGCAAAGGGGCTCTAGTTTGCCAAGCCAACTCTTGGCATTGTTGATATCCCCTTAAAAAAAATAAATCATTCAGCCTAAGTTTTGCTTTGTAGCTTCAGTGACAATCAGCAGTCAAGCACAGTAGCTGAGAAAGGTAGGAGATTTACAGTGGTTTTTAAAAGCCATCTCTGCACCATCTGAGCTGTTCTACATAGGCACCAAACAAAAACCCTGCTCAAATTGCTTAGGAGAAAGCGCGACTGGGCTGGAGCGGCTCCAAATTCTCTTCTGGCTCAAAGGGGATCACGGCCAGGTCTCTGCAGCCATGCACAGGCCTCACGCAGAGCCACACACACAGCATTACAAAGAGAATTCGAGCAATACTGTTTCACATTGGTTTTTAATGACACTTACAGAGATCCCATCACATTAAATTTCATCCAGAGAGAGACACACGGAGGGAGGAGAGTCATTAGCTTGGCCCTAAAGCCCTGAAAAGAGAAGGAGGGAAGGAGGAGTGGTTTCCTATGCTAATACTGCAGAGACTGAACTCCCACAGATGTTTTCCTATGCTCCAGGATAAATGAGACTTTCCTAAATCTTTCCCCACTGCAAATAAACAGACAAGGAGCTTGCACCATGCGGCTTGCACTGCCCTATTCATCACAGCATCCCAACTGTAGGTACCAGTGATCACAGCTAATCATTGACAATTACCACCACTGAGCTCGTAGGTCTGTTTCCCCGATAACTTTCAGCAGCTACAAAGCTCTTTGTGGGCTTCTCCATGTAGAAAGGCTGAAGGAAATCTACTCCCCCTTAGCCTGGCAGCCAGACGCTCCTCCTAAAAGCTGTTTCCATCAGGCAACACGGCACGCTCACAAAACACAAGGAAAAAAATTTCCAAGCCCGTAAGCCTATTGCGTCATCGATGACCCAGTCTCTGTTGCCTTGGTGTGGCAGGTTGACGGGGAACCGTTTTGCTTAGAAGAACTCTTGTCCCTCTCTCTCTCCCGGCAAGCTTGCTCTGCAGCCAAGCCCAGCTCCCCCCACTCCCTTCAAACAGATATAATTCAATTCAATCAAACAAAACAAGAAAAAGCACTCGTACAGTCGGTGCTTTTCCCGCATATAAAGTAACACGGCAGCGGGCTGAGGGATGGACCCTTTGAGAAATTCGTATGCCAGCCTTCCCACTATAGTAATTTCATTCTGTCTTTGTAATTGTCTGATATTACATTGTTCCCTGCCGGAAGATTAATTAGCTAGTCTTACCCTCAAACATACCATCCCTCTGAAACCCTCAAGGAAGCTGGAGTGGTGCCAAGCCTCTCGTATTTGCTATTCTGGCTGGCAGCTGCTACTGTATCCAAGAAAGGCTCCTTTTGTCCCCTAACAACAGTTGCTGTGCCAACTGACCCCCGGTCCCCCCTTCCCCAAGCCCACCGCCAAGGAGGTGCCGAAGTTGCAGTGCCGCAGGCCGGGGAAAAGGGGTGGGGGAGAGATGAGAATCGGAAAGGGGAATTAAAAAAAAAAAAGAGAGAGACAAAACCCAACCCCGCACGAACCAACCCTCCGACTGGCATAATTACTCACACTCATTAAGTATGGCTGCATTGCATATGCAAATCAAGCAAGTCAAGTGCACGGGGCGCGTCAGGCTGCCGCAGCACCAATGATGCCTTGCCGATGCCTCGGTCCCGTCTAGCGGTGGGAAGGACGCGAGCGAGATGGCATCTCGCCGGCCGGCGCGCCGAGCCGACAGAGCACAGCCGGCGCATCCGCGCTCCGGGCCGCCGGCGC